TACCTTCAAGCTATTTTCAACTATTGGCAACCCTGTCATGGGATTTTATTGGCAAGATTTATTCAGAAGGGGTTTGCCATTCCCTTCCTCTGAGACTGAAATAATGTGTCATGTCTATGATCACCCAGTGGATTTCCATCGCTGAGTGGGGATGTGAACCGTGACCTCCTGAAGTCCTGGCCCAACACACAAACCACTACAGCAGTGTTTCTCAATCTGTGGGTTCTCAGATGTTTTGGCCTTCAACTCCCAAATACACTACAGCCGCATCACATAGTTAATTATTTTTAAATTGTTTTATCAGATTCTTGATCCATTTATCCAGATTCCACTTATCCCCTCTCACCCAATTGTAGGGTCAATTAGCTTGAAATTTATTAATAACCTCTGTCATATCATAAATGTCCTTCTCCCGTGATATTACAACTCCTAGACTAAAATGCCGGCTGGATTCTGGTAGACCCACGTATCCGTTTTCACATGCCTCCCAAAAATAGGCAAGTAGCCAGATAACTGTTTTTGGTTTGCATCCAAAAATGTGGCTAGATCCAGCCCATTGGTGGCATGGGGAACGTATGAGGCTCCCCTTTCCATTCCTGGGATCCTTTTCTTTTTCTTCCCCTTCAAGAGAGCCTGGGTTTCAGCAAGAGGGTTAAGAAAACACCCTACCTAGAATCCTTTCCTTTTTTTTGCCTTCAAGGGAACCTGGGTTTCAGCAACAGGGTTAAGGAAGCAGACACAGGTTGCGTAAGACATGTCACGGTGTTCTTCTATTTTGATTGGCCCAACAGGCAGGGCTCCTATGGAAACTACATATGAGCAGGCCGCCGTGTGATGCCGAACAGGGGAGGAGAAACAGTCATTGGCTGCCACATGGTCCCATAATGGACGAAAAAGCATGATGACTTGGCCCTTGCTGTTATGGCCATCTGACCAAGCCAAACAAGCCGGATTGGCTGAAGGGAACCGACCACCCCGCATCCATGCACAAACCTAGTAGAGATTGTAGGCAGATATCTCTCGTATCTCTTACACAATACCAGAAGCCAAAATAATCTAATGAAGCTGAATGGTTGGAGAACCAGGGAGGGTCTCAAACTTTGCACAACAAATACTGTATTTGTGCAATACAGTAAGGGAAGCTTCCATCAAATGTGATGGTTGTCACCAACCTAGTAATTGTGACCAGGAAGCACTAGAAAATATCATAAAATGCTAAAGCTATCATGTCATAGCAGATTATTTAGGTTCATTTTAATCCAGTTTCAAGACAAAAATTACTTTACCCATCCTGGTTGATTATTTTTATAGAAGCAGAAGTGGTACAGTACAAAACTACTGGTTGTCCTGGGCCTCCTGTTGCATTGCAGTACCACTAAATACAGTAACTTTCTGTCTAGCTATGGGAGACTGAATAAATATGGAGTTATCATGATTTCAGCTCTACCTGTAGGAATTGGTTCAAATGTGATGGTGGTGGGGAAACTATTGCTTTATTCTATTATAGTCACTTTAGTTTTGATATGTGACATACATTTTATAAAAGGTGCATCACTTCTCAATGGATTCCCAAACACAATTTAAATAATTGTCATTGGCTTTTAAAGCATGAGTTCCTTGAAAGGACTGTCCTTACCCACACTATGAACTTTATGATCAGTATTAGAGAACCTATCTGCCTCTATAGCCTGTAATAACCACAAGATCCAGGTATTATTAGGTTTTCTAAAAGAGTCACTTGTTTACTTGGGTTTACAACTGAGTTAGAAGCCTATTTGGGTCATTGGGTATATGATAATTGAATCGAAATTATTTTATTATATTTTCTAGTTCTGTAGTTTGCTCTTTTAGGAACACTTGGCCTAAAAACCTCCCATATTAAAGGTACCAGCTACTTAGAACAATACTGAGAAAGATTCCATGGCACTTGTGTCTTGCTTGTGGGCTTGTCAAAAATACCTGGTTGGCCACAAATCTTTGGAGTAAATAGGTCTTTGGTCTGATCCAAAATAACTTTTTTTGCTCATTGTGTGTCGTTAATGTTTGGTGTTTCCCCATGATTGTTTAAATATTTGCATATACCAGGGAATCAAACCACAACCTGAAAATTGTATTAGAAAACTTTTTAGCAAATAGAACCAACACGAAGAAATAGGAACAGCTGACTGTGAGCTGCTCTTTGACTCACTCTCAAGTTGGTATTTTTTAAAAGAGCAGTGCCAAGTTCCTTAGACATATTTCAAAGGGAAAATGTGTACTGTTTTCCTTCTAATATGTCTATCTAATATGCTCAGTACAGAACTAGGTCATTGAACAATAGACTGAACAGCAATCTGCACTCTTCTTCTGCATAATGCATTAAGTTTAACACAGAGAAACTGTTCACAAAACTGAAAGCTGGTACTTCATGTCTGTAAATTTAAGACGACATGACATTCAATATTGTTTCACATTAATGAACAACAAACACAATGCCAAGTTCAGCCTTAAGAAGTACCAGCAAGGCATAAGGGAAAACACATTGTGTTTTTCCATGAGAATAATAAATTAATTATAACCATTTAACACTTTGTTATAGATACAGAATACCACCGAGACTATCATTGTGAGATAATTTTGTAGCAAGACTCTTGTTCTCTAGTATTTTGAGGGCCTTTTATTTTAAACTACATTAGAGTCTTTTCTTGTAAACTGCCACCGGGTCAACTTCGATGTATGGCAGTTCTATGAGTGAGAGACCTCCAAGTCATCAAAAGCTTTGCTCAGACCTTGCAAACTCAGGGCTGTGGCTCGCTTGATTGAATCTGCCCACCAGTAATGTAGGGCCTTGCTGGTACACAGATTTTCTCATGTTTATTGTTGTGTGTGGTGTTGTTTCAGCATTACTATACAGTTACTAGAATTCAAAGACATTCTTTTTCTAGGAAGAAGTGCTGTCCTGTTTTTTTTCTTTTCTTATTCTCTTTTCAAAATTCCCATTGAGGTTCAGTTCAAATTCCTTGACAAACTAATAGTACTATTTCTGTCATCTAGTATTCCTTCTTTGAAATACTTGCCTTTGAAAACCTCTTGCATAAAATTCAGAAGTGTGTTTTCTCAAAGGCCCCAGTGTATATGTCTTAAGAGTGAGGTGGTACTTGTACTGGTGGTAACTTTTTTCATTATAGGAAATTATAAATACTCTTTCAGTTCTGCATTCTCACATTTTTAAATGCCAATATTTTCTCCCCAAAGGTCATTTAAGAAATATTAGGGGAAGAGTGATTATTCACTGCTGCTTGGCCATCATTTCTGGAGCTCTTGTTCTCATGCTTCATGTCTCTATCATAATAAGCTAGCTGCCCTTCTTGATACTCTGTTGCAATGGATTGTTCAAAGCTTCATTGTGAAATAATCCAATGTTCCTCTTCATGTATACTAAAAAATGTAAGAATATTAGGTAAAACATAGGCTGGAACCAGAGGTTCCCTGCCATGAGCATTTTTCTTTTGTCTCATCTCCACTGCCATATTTGAAGTTTTACTATATGATCAGTGTAAGCCAGGCATGGCCAAACTTTGGCCCTCCAGCCAGTAGGATGTTAGGAATTGTGGGAATTGAAGTCCAAAAAACACATAGAGGGCCGAAGTTTGCCCATGCCTGGTGTAAACTCATATAATGCTGTTCAGTGCAGTTAAACTGCATTGTATGAGTCTATACTAATCCTGACCTGAGGAAAGGGAATTAAACATCTAGATATGTGCCTCTGTTGCCAATGGTCTTTCAGAGTATCTTCTTAAAGTGCTTGCACAAAAGTTCAAGGAATTGTTTCATGGCTTGTATTTTGCTATGTTAACAATCCTTGTGATTTAACCCATTGTGACTGGAGATTTTCAGTCTCAGATCAGTAAACCTAAGAAATTTGTAAAAGCCAGTTAGTACACTTCCAATGTGGTGGAGTTGCAACTTACATACATTTTCTTCGTTCATTGCTACAAAATGATCAGTAATTGGTTGATGAAGTAGGGAAAATGTATGCTAAGGTTACATCTCACACCAACACTAAACTTCTTCTACAACCAGTGGGGCCAGCATGGGAAGCATTTTTATTGTACATACATTGCACATACAGTCAGGGTTGGAAAAGATCGCAAGGGCTATCGAGTCAATCTTTCCACAGGGTTCCTGTTACTCAGATTTTGCAGCATAGGACCACATGGTAAAAGGACAAAGGATTCATGATGTAAATGTAGCTTGTGAACTGGCTTATGTCTTTATTATGCACAGCTTTTTACTAACAATATAAGTGTCTTCTCTGGAATTGAATAGCCCCAGGCCCGTAGCCAGGATTTCGTTTCGGGGGGAGGGGGGGGGGCTAAAAATTTTCAGGGGTGTTTTTTGGGGAGGGGGCTGAGTTTCGGGGGGGGGCTGAGTCTGAGTGAAAGAGGGTCTACCCTAGCAAACCTTTTGTATCATTACCCCAATACCCCCATGCATATGGGATATATTGAGTATGGTGATCAGATCATGATATGAATAAATATAACAGTTTAAATAATGCACCAGTAAGGCCTTTTTGCGAACCACCATGAGATTTTTTTTTGGGGGGGGGGCTGAAACCCCTCAAGCCCCCCCCCCCGGCTACATGCCTGAATAGCCCTATTAGTTTCTCAAAAAAAAAGTTAATATCGGGGATCGTCAATCTTTTAAAACTGAGTTTTAGAGTCTGGATTCCAAATTGATGTCTATAGTTTAATCTGCTCTATGATTCCATCTTTAAAAAGAAAGAGGCCTACAAAGGTTACTGTTGTTGCTGGTGATATTAGGCAATGTACTGAATCAAGAAGTTCCTAGCCAAATGACTTGCAGTGTCTATTTCCAAGACAACGTTGGAAATAGAAATGAAAAAGAATGTTAATAGTTAGTTCAGGACAAAGGAAACCGAAGCCAAGATAGCCGACTAAACCAAAATAGTTTCTTTTTGGAATAATTCATGTTAATATGTCCTTTCTCTTTGGCAGGAAAGAACACGCTTTGAGAATTTAGGCCCTCAGCTATCAGGGAAACCCGGTGAAGATGGAAAACTAGGGCCAGGAGTCATTGATCTTACAAGGCCTGAAGATGCAGAGGGTGAGTTACTGTAAGAAATACACTGTCACTGAGCATCACTTTTCTTCAGCACTTTAAAACTAGATGTCTTAAATGAACATTGTGCAGTCATGTCCCTATGCACAGCTTTGAGGCATTTTGCATAGATTTTAGTGACATGTACAAGCATAAGTCTTGGTTTTAAAATGGTGTCATACAATATGTATTCTCTGCTCATTATTTACAGTCTACTTCAACTGTTCTCATAAAGCTCTCCCGAAGTCACTCTGCATGTTACTTCAGCTGGCTGATATATGCATTTCACTGCTCATTGGAGTAGTATCATATTGGACAAGGTTCCATGATTGAGGATTTCTGGTTTTGGAGCAAGCTATATTCATGGTCATATTATGAGTTCCTTCTTGTCTGTTATGCTGGTTGTTCATGCCAACATTCACACGAGGAGCTGAGCGTGGATATTGGTAGGTTTAAGTAAATTAGGAATAGCTGAAATTCAAAAAGTCACCTTTTGGGTATGCAATTCCCAGAGGCTTCCAGCCAGGATGGCCAGTGAACAAAATGTAACATTTTCCAAGATCTGGAGAATAATCCCATGATTAATCCCACCATTATTACCTTCTCAAAAGCCATTCCAATCTTTATTCCACTCTTTGGCAACAGAAGTTATTTTTTTTGGTATCAGGAGCAACTTGAAAAACTTCAAGTCGCTTCTGGTGTGAGAGAATTGGCCATCCGCAAGGATGTTGCCTAGGGGATGCCTGGGTGTTTTGATGTTTTACTATCCTTGTGGGATGCTTCTCTCATGTCCCTTCATGGGGAGCTGCAACTGACAGAGGGATCTCATCCGCACTTTCCCCGTATTTGAATCTCTGACCTGTCAGCATAAAGGTTTACAGTTGCACTACCTGGGGCTCCAAACAGAAGTGATACTGCTGAGTAGCCAGCTGATCACCTGCTCAAATCATTACAGGCAGTATTCTATAACCAGCAAGAATGGACTCTGTCCATCCAAATACACATTGCAATCCTTTTTGGCATATATCAGTTTTGCTGTTTGGAAGAAAAGAACAAGGAAGAAGATTGTTCAATTCATTGACTAATTGCAGAATTAATTATAGTGAAGTTTTAATTGGATATATGCAGTATGAAAGGATATAGAGTGCTTGTGGCTGTTCTGATTAGTTGAGGGAATATACTTTTGCGAAGACATTACCTTCATTGAGAGCCTGTGGGTTATAGTCTTGATTCTATTGAAGCTAGTGGAAATGTTTCCATTGATTTCAGTGGTTAAAGGCTGCACACTATAATGTTTATTTTAATTAGCTGCTTGGATTGATCAGTTAAAAACAATGCCATTAATCAGCTAAAAGCCCTTAATTGGTGGACAGGTCTATTAGATATACTGTTGATAAGTGACTGAATTTGTCTGATTTCAGTTTAAAATTATATCCAATTTCAGTTTTAAAAAACATTTTATTTTGATTGAATTTTGCAGAATGGGGTAATAAAAACAAGCAAAAAAAAGAGAGAACAATGTAGACATGTATTTCCACCTCATTCTTGCCCTTTTTCTCTCTTTTGAGATGGCGTTATATCCTTTTGAGAAATCTGTACATTGTGTTCAGTGAAGATTGAAGATAACAAAACACATTAGTACTTGCTTTTCTAGTGGGAATTTAACACTTTAGGATCCTGTGGATTTACTTGTTGCTGTTTTCTCTCTCTCATCTTTTCCCTTTCCACGTTTCCTTACTATATTACCTGTAGATTGCAAATCACAATTTCTATATTCTAAGAATTTCTACATTGAATGTAACATGAGAACATTCACATGATTAATTAAAGACTGTTTATAATTGGAAGATAATTTTTCAATACTTTGTTAACACAGTAAAACTAGAGCTTCCAAAATCACAATTAAATAATGTCAGGCACAGTGACACAAAATAACACTTTCCATATTATCGAAAGATCTTCTTCCATAAACAACATTAGAAACAGTGACACATGGTTTATCAATATTTTGTCAACACAATGAACTTAGAGCTTCCAAAATAACAGTTAAACAATATCCGGCACAGTGGCACAAAATAACACTTTCTATGTTGTCGAAAGATCTTCTTCCATAAACAACATCAGTGACAGTGACACACAACAAGGTCTCCCGGGTTGTTTCCCTTGTTTCGCAATGTCTTCATCAGGTGTTATGATGTTGTAATTTACTAAATAAGAAACACAGCAACATACAAATAATAGATATACTACCGAATATTGTTTAGCTGTTATTTTGGAAGCTCTAAGTTCATTGTGTTGACAAAATATTGATAAACCATGTGTCACTGTTTCTGATGTTGTTTATGGAAGAAGATCTTTCGATAATATGGAAAGTGTTATTTTGTGTCACTGTGCCTGACATTATTTAATTGTGATTTTGGAAGCTCTAGTTTTACTGTGTTAACAAAGTATTGAAAAATTATCTTCCAATTATAAACAGTCTTTAATTAATCGTGTGAATGTTCTCATGTTACATTCAATGTAGAAATTCTTAGAATATAGAAATTGTGATTTGCAATCTACAGTTTTTGTAATTGTTGTTATAGATATCTGTGCATGTTACAATTACTATATTACCTAGCAGTAGTTTTATGCAGTTCTTGTGGGTTTTTTCGGGCTATATGGCCATGTTCTAGAGGCATTTCTCCTGACGTTTTGCCTGCATCTATGGCAAGCATCCTCAGAGGTGAGGTCTGCTGGAGCTGGGGGAAAAGGGGTTTATATATCTGTGGAATGACCAGGGTGAGACAAAGGGCTTTTGTAAGTTGGGCTAGGTGTGAATCTTTCAACTGACCACCTTGATTAGCATACAATGGGCTGACTGTGCCTGGAGCAAACTCTTCTTGAAAGGTGATTAGATGTCCCTGCCTGTTTTTCTCTCTGCTGTTTTTGCTGTTGCAATTTTAGAATTTTTTAATACTGGTAGCCAGATTTTGTTCATTTTCATGGTTTCTTTCTTTCTGTTGAAATTGTCCACATGTTTGTGGATTTCAATGGCTTCTCTATGTAGTCTGACATGGTGGTTGTGAGAGTGGTCCAGCAGCAAATGTGCATGTATTGCACACTCTGATCTACACCCTCTAGTCTGGGGTACAGTTTCTCAGTGTAAATACAGTTCAGTTGTTTATACAGTCATTTTTTCTTGTGTAGTTTGGGTGGATGGGTGTTCTGTCTTTTCCTTCAGTTTAGACATCAGATGTTTTGATTTCTTGCTGGACAAAACTTCCTATTGTGCACAAACACCATCATAAAACAGCTGTAAGTTTCAGTAACAAGCCAGGTTGGTGATGCCACAAACTCACTTTCTCTCTAAAGCTATATGTCAAGTGTCTCTCGCTATCTGATTTCATGTTCAGGTTAATTAATGATACCAGCACAGATATATGTTTTAGATGGAAGAAAGAACAAAGGAAAGCCATCTTTTGAGGGTCCTTCCACACAGCCATATAACCCAGAATATCAAGGCAGATAATAAACAATATCTGCTTTCAATTGGATTATCTGAGTCCACACTGCTATATAATCGAGTTCAATGTGGACTTTGTACAGCTGTGTGGAAGGGGCCTGAGAGAAGCTAGTAGGTATAGAGGAGGAAAACTGATTGTTTTTAATTTTTCTGAAGTAACAAATAACAGGGAAGGGAAACTGTCTGACACTTTCAATTCTTTTAGACTGCTGTTCATATTACCCATAACCATTGGCTGTGTTGTCCAAGGCTGATAGGAGTTGGGATCCAGAGACCTCTGCAATGTTCCGTATTATCTGCACCTTGGGTCCCTTCAAAATTACAACACTCTTACATTTTATAGAAATATTACTATATAGTTCTTTATAGAACTTTATTACTATATAGAACTTTATTACTATAAAGTTCTTTATAGAACTTTAGAGAAAGGACACTTAACCTCTTTAATCTTATATTCTTTGCATGTTGTCTTGGAAAACCTTCATAGCCATTCCAGGCTTTTTCAAAATGTTGGGTTTTGATAGTGCCAGTAATTATACTTTGCAGCGCTGTGAAAGAGCTATGAGATCTCTTTGGTTCAATTTTTAGCTAACATTTTGGAAACACCCAGGTGGATTCAGAGCTCAGGTGGTTTCAGTGGATTCAGCTAGATTCTTCAGAAATAAAAACTTTATGGCAATGGACTTTTGTAACCTTTGTGCTGGAGTAGCAGTGATGAGAGAACTGCCTGAGCAGATCTCTTAGGATAGCACATCTTGGCCTATAAAGAGCTAATAGCCCCAGGTTGTATTTTTATTCTCTTTTAGCATGCCAACAGTATTTTGGTAATTGACCGGAATTCAGCTTCTAAGTGTATTCTTTTATAGGAAAAATAAATATTTATGTTATGATGTCATGAAAAACCATCTATTTGACTCTAATATGATTCTAAGACAGATGTTTGGGTGTGTTTCATGCACACCAGATTTAAACAAGCTGTCCTTGGTCAATATATGTCAAATGCATTAATGGAAATTAAATGTTCTTCTATACAGTTTAGAAGTGACCTGACATGAGAAAATGTTGTTTGGAGCTCTTATAATTTATTTTTATATTATAATCTACTGAAAAGCTGTAAAATAGTTCCAACAATTAGCACAATTGACATTTACTGTAGTGAAACAGTTTTATGTTTTCTTCATAAATGAGAACAGCTTATTTAATTCAAAATTGATACATGTTCCAATACCAGTTTTAGAGCAGTTCCTGTAATTGTCCAGACTGCCATGAGTGACTTGAGTTTGAACATATATTTAACTTTTATTTTTTGGAATTCTTTAGAAATATCATAAAAATAACCCTGTACTGACCAGAGCTGAAGATTAGTTATTTTCTTTTGATGTTCAAAAACAATTGAACATGAGACATGTTATTGCAGTCAATATAATTATAACATTATTTTATAGTGAGTTACAGAGTACAATATGAATCAGATTGCCAGTCCAAGGATATGGGACAAGCA